CTCAAGTCAAAGTGAAATAAAAAAGTGTTTAATTTTTGTTTTTTTTTAAAAACCAGTCAAACATAGGTTATCATACCATGGCAATATACAACAGCCGTAACCATCTCACCAACCGTTGCTGACACATCATTGCAAAAGCACAGCTGAATCCGTTGGCGCACAGTGGTGTGTGTAGCGAAAAGATGTGAAAACACTTCTTAGAAAAATTAATTCAGTCAAATCACCGCTGCGACTGACTCGAATAATTTCCAACCAAGAGACAAAATTTGCGACCGCATTTTACTGTAATTGAGCATCAATAGTCTCGGCTTATATGCGTATTCAAGCGACTTCACATAACCCCAGAAAAAAAAAGTCCAGCGGTGTAAATTCACACGATCTTGGACGATGCGTGATAAAACGGTCAACTTAAAATGCGTGATAAAACGGTTTTCTTAAAAAAATTTATTCTTTCGTTGGCTGTATGGCATGTTGTGCCGTCTTATTGGAACCGTAGGTTGTCCATATCAACATTCTCCAATTTCGATACGAAAAAGTAATTAATCATGGCTCATCATGTATACCACATTGACCTTAACATTATGGTCGGCTTTAGTGACTTTTTGAGAATTTAAGGGCATCTCAATATATATATTATATAATATATTATAGCTTGTGGATTATCACATTTCATCGTTGGATTTTGTAACACCGCGAACCAAGATACTTCCGTAGAGTAAACGTGGTGTGAAGCCGCACCGCATTAAGCAGTATTTTTGACGAAGCTTTAATACATACATAGGTATATATGTTTTAAAGAGGTCTGAGAGTCTAAGAAAAAATACGGCCAAAAATCACTAGAATCTGGAGCCACGGATAAAAAGTATAGAAATAAAAAACATGTACAGTCGACAAACAGTTTTTTAGATTTGGGTGGAAACCCCATAATGCGATTCGTTATGGTTTTGTCAATATCGATACTGTAAGCACCACTGATCGCTGTTTCCAAAAAGTTGGTTAGATCAGCTGTTTTGTAGAATTATAAATTTTTTGAAAGAGTTTAGGAACTGCAACTGTTTTTGGCATGAGATTATACTCTGTTAGGTGTCATACAAAAGTACTTTCCTAATTTTTACAAAAAACTAGATGCATCCTATACATTCTTTAAACGAATTTAATAGTCGAAATAGTGGATACCTTTTGATAAGAATTTTATTTACTGAACTCTTGAGGACATAGGGTACATTATTTTTAGCTTTAGCAACGCCGGAGTACATCAAAATTTTATGTACATATAACTTAACTGTAAATGGGCAAAGCATTCCTTATCTAAATGTAGACCGCAAAATTCGAACTGACTTTGCACTTTTTTGATAGTTACCGTGAACACTAGTTGCATCAAAGACTCAATATATTTGCAGTTGGTTTGAATTTCGAGGTTTTTTTTTTATTAATTCATGATTTGAATTTATTTTAGAATTTATCGGGCAATGCAATCTGTCCTTAAACTCCTGACAGCAATATTCAAGCCTTCTCAAACGATTGATTGTTATCGCGTGAATATTGCAATGACTCATAAATGGTCAGATCGGTGATTGATATTGCCAGATATCATTGCTGCGATGAATTTCTGTGACATTCTTCAAATGCTTTTTTCTACTATGGAGTATAAAATATCTCTTTGTAGGAAGTAGTCTGCAACTATATAATATAACTTTATTTGGTTGGATCAATATATGACTACCTTTGCGAAATGGATTTTTCGAAATTACGTATTGTGCTTACAAATGTTCTGATAAATATACCAAAATATTTATCTTTTGGGATAGAAACCCTTCAGCTTATTTTGACATGAGAACACGGACTTTAAACTCAAAATAAAAAAATAACAAATTTATAATTAATTTTTATTTGTAAAAGTTTTTGTCACAATAAACCATTGAATTGCCACACTGTGCAACAGTTGCTTACAATAAAGTCGAATGAAACGTTCTGCATCGAGGCAGTGTGAAGCTCATCATTTAGTCGGTCATCGGCGATACGCGTGCGTAGTAATAGTATTTAGCGATTAGCGCGCAGCATTAGTAGCTCCGCGTGTTATAACGAAGGACGATCATTAGTGCTTGAGTAGAAACGCGTAAAATGAGTTATACGAACTTAAAAGGCGTATTGGCACATGCGCGTTGTGAAATAATGTGAATATCAACTGAGCTGAAAAAAAATTATAATTATTAATACTATACTGCATAACAAAAGGTGTTTGTGCTCTGACAGTGTAATATTTGTGTTTAAACTTTATTACCAATAAACTACTGACTTCAAAACAAGATTTATAAAACAATGAGTTTTACGTTGCTACCGACTAACGCCTATCATGTACGCCCCACTTGCTCGCCGTTTCGCGTGCAGTTGCACATACTATTTGGTTTTGTGTTGGGTTTTCTGATGGCGCTAGGTACACTACTGCTATATAATCACTATCAAATTGAGAGCGTACAACAGCGGCAACACACTACTGCCACCGAGTACTGGCAAACGGGTTACATGACGGCCTTGCAGGAGGTGGCCACCGAGGCCGATACGTTGCAACAACAGCTCAACGAGCGGGTGCGTGTGCTATGCATGGTGTTGACATCGCCTAGCCAGCATGCGAGTCATGCGCTACATGTGAAAGCCACTTGGGGCAAACGTTGCACGCGTTTGATATTCTTGAGCAGCGAGGAGGATGAGGAATTGGGCGCTGTGGCAGTAGTGGAAAGTGAGGCGGACACTTATGATGATTTGTGGAATAAGACACGCGAGGGATTTCGCTATGTGTACGAACGTTATTTGGAAGACTATGATTGGTTCGTCAAGGCGGACGATGATACGTGAGTGAGTTTAAATATAGCGTTATATTGCATAAGAGAGCTTTGTATTGCATTGTCAATACGAATACTTGTGGTGATTTTGTCAAATTTAATACCAAACAATACATTTAATAATTTATTTTTAAGAAAAAGAAAGAATTATTCTTCGTGACTATACATATCTCATAATATTGGTCGAACACTTTTTTTAAAACAAAAAACTTCAAAGACAGCAAATGAATCAGCTATATTTTAACATAACGCACATATGTATACTGTTGCAGCCAGCTTCACCTTAAATCAATATAACATCATTTGTATATAATATTATCGGCTGCTGATGAGCTGAGAGAACAAGCTATATAAATTTTAAAGAATTTGTACTGCACATTACAGAAGTAGTTATTTTGGCAAAAATGCCAAGAGGTAGAATTGACAAGATATGCAATGTATCAATGTATCAAGGGCTTAAGAATAGTAAAATTATTACGATTTAAATGAAAGATCCACGATTCGTTTGACAAGAACTTATTAAAGTTGAACTCGAATTTTCACCGAAATTAATTTTCTTAAAAACAGCTAATGAGGTTTCAACATCTGATTAAAATTCCGATATTTGTTTACAAAGTGACATTTTTAATATCATTAAAGTAGTCAAAACGTTGAACACAGCTAGCTTACTAGGTTAGGGCTACTAAAGTTTGTGCTTGTCAGTCAAGTTGGATTAAAGTGTCAGCATGGTTGAAATTGAAAGTTGGTTGCCATTTGAGTAATTTTCTTCGTTATAGTGGAGAGGTATGTTATGACTGTCAATTTAGATGAGATTTTCTTCATGGAGTATAAGTTGTATAGAACTATAATGAAGAAAAATTAAAGAAATTTAATTTCAAACGAGATTTTGAGAGAGTATGAAAAATTTCGGTTGTACGAGTAGTAAAAAGGCGCTGAAGGTCTTGACTACCTTTTTCTTGCTCTGCTTAACTCGGAAACAACAAGGCTCAAGCCAAAAGTTAAAAAAAAAGAGAGTTTCGCAACATTATTTCGTTGTGCATTTTATAGAAGAATACGATAGCTCGTGACGTCATTAGGGGAAGTAGAATAACGATTTCATAGCACTACTTTGAAAGTGTACCTTTCGCGCCAAAATCTTGTACTCTGTCATTCTTGTTTTATATGGTGATTGAACAATTCGCCTCAAGAAAGTGAGCGCTGTCAAACAGTGATTTAGGCTACTTACAACTTTAAAGCGCTTCAACTAACAAAAAGTGGTCATAAGATCATCATTCATTGATTTTATTTATATTATATTTGAACAATTCTTGACAGTTGTCGAAATCGAAATATCACACAATTTTAAGAGTTTACAACAAAATGTACGATATACTAATGAGATGTGTAAAATACATACATATATAGTACACACTTACCAGGTGTACCGATATGAAGTGAGCGTTAAGATACAAATGTGTTGGTAGGGAACATTTGTTGTGAACAAGCCTTATCTTTTTTCTGTTCGGTTTGCATGGCATCTGTCAAACATATTCTATAACCTTACAGTCATTGAACAAACAACATCATATTTTTTCATTGGTTTGAAAATATCAAACTTTGTACCGGAAAGTGATGATTTGCGGAAAGCATTGATTTTTTGTTTCCATTTGAAGAAAAGTGTTGAAGAGTCGCAACGAATGCTTGACGAGGCATATGGTGATCATGCTCTATCAGAAACAACCTACAAAATATGGTTTTAACGGTTCAGAGATAATGATTTTGATGTGAGAAATAAAGAACGTGGAATATATTGTATGAAGATAGACTCTGAGTGAAAAGCAAATGGCAGCTATGCTAAATGTTGCACAACAAACAATTTGAAAGCTATGGGTGTGGTATATCATGAGCTTCTTAAACCTGATGCAACTGTTAATACAAATCGCTACAGACAGCAATTTGAACCATGCTTTGACGTATGCCCACTCGCCGTATTCACCAGACTTGTCGCCTTCCGATTTCCATTTGTTTTTAACGATTGAACGCATATTGGCTGAACAGCACTTCCGATTCCTACGCAGAAGTCGAAAATTGGGTGCTTCAAAAGACAAACAATTATATTAGCATCCATTTCGAGGTTCCCTACTTTTTTAAAGAAAAAACAAAAATACAGAAAATTCAAATTTAATGGGGAATGTTTATTATAATTCGAAAGAACATTCTTTGGTATTTATTTTTTAAGATCATCTTTTTCAAGTGTTGGCCGCGGCTTCGTCTAGATGGTTCATCCGTTGAATCGAATTTTCGATGACTGGAATTGTTCGCATAGACTTTATACTATTAGCATGGTATCCACAAATTGCCGGAAAGGTCGTCAAATTTTTTTTTTGCTTTCCCATTCAAAATTAGTATTTCGTGAAGAGCTGAGTTGATTTAGCCATGTCCGTTTGTCTGTCTGTATACACGCGAATTAGTCTCACAGTTTTTGATATATCGAACTAAATTTTTGCAAACGTTCTTTTTCTCCAAAAAGCTGCACATTTGTCAGAACCGCTGATATCGGACTACTATAGCATATAGTCGTCATGCTGACCGATAGTGTTATATGGAAAACTTTTTTATATGATCAGACCACTATAGTATATATGTAGCTGACATTTAAACTAACCGATCAAAATCGAGATAAAGATTTTCATGAAGGATCTTTTAAAGGTTGTTTATATCAAACTTCATGGCTATAAAGGACTAGCAACCTATTGTATCTTCACGAAATTTAGCATATAATTTCAAAGCAACGCTACAATTTCTGAATAAATCGAAATGGCATGGCTATATCATACAACTGCCATATACGGCACAGTGCCTTATATAAATTGTTATAATTTTGCAATAATATTTAATAAGCGACAAATACTGTCACTTCATCGATAAGAAAATTAATTAACTTTCTTTACATTTCATTTCCATTACAGTTACATGGTTATGGAAAATTTACGTTACATGCTTTACGCATATTCCCCGGACATTCCAATCTATTTTGGCTATCAGCTGGTGCGTTATGGTGTGGTAAGTATATAAATACTTATATATATAACAAAACAACAAAAACGGTTAATTATTCTTCAATATTTATTTTATCCCTTCAAAATAGTCACCATTAGAGGCGATACACATATGCCACCTTTTTTTCCAATCTTCCTAACACTTCTGGTAGGCCGCTTTAGGTATGGCTTTCAGTTCCTTCTTCGAATGCCACAGGGCAATTTGAGTTTAAGGAGAAAAGTCACGGTGCCTGTCGAATGGTGAATACGGTGCGCGGAACATATATTGCCGTTGTTTTGGTCAAATAATCGCGTACAAGACGAGACGTATGAGGCTGGATTTGGAACAGTCGAGCGAACACGTCTCATGCCCAAAACATCGTGAATAATGCTATGACGGATCCATTTGATATGTTGAGCTCATAGCTATCTCTCTTTCGGTCACGATCTTTTCCAACACAATTTTCTTTACTTTTCGACGTTTTCTTCGTTTATTGACGTTGCTGGACGACGATCGCGGGCAAGTTCTCCACGATGTCATGGTCCTTGTCTGACAATGCCAATCAAACTCGTGCACGTGATAGCCAAGACTCCCCATATGCCTTCTGCAACATTTCGTTGCGTCCTCGCCCTTATTCCATTGGAATAACAATTTCAAACCAACCTTGCTACAAACGTTAATTTCCATAGAAAAGTTAAAACACCTCGAGGTTGACTGTTTATAGTGCCTTAAAAACTATGTGACAGATCGCTCTCAATTGACATGTAAACATATAACAGTCCTGCCAACCTAAGCAAAAAAAAGTATGGCCATATGTCATGTCCTTGTCGAGTTATGGATGAAGTCTCGTTTTGCGTTGAGCAGAAGGTATAAATATATATATTATATAAATGCGAATGTCTGTATTAGACACCAATTAGTTAAAAAAAAAAGCTGCATCTCGATGAAATGCCGCAAAAAGCTTTATTGCTACCATTTAGTGTTTTTAATTAACTCATTCAACGTTAAAATGGCTCTTATGTGTCGTCGTTGGCCACGCATGCGCACAATAACGACACAATTATGTCCAAACAGAGCTCTCTTAACATTTGTATACCTTAGGCGGATGCTCATCAAGTGTTCAAAATTGAATTTCAATAATAAATTTATGCAAACAAGCAATAAAATTAAATGCTTAAATGCCGCACGTGATTTATAGACAGTGAGCGCCCCAAACATTTGGCGGCAAAAATGCAAACGGCTTAAAGTTAAAGATATTTTCTCAAAACATATTGAAAACACGCGTAACAACAGCAATTCTGAGCTTATCATATTTGTGTAAAAAACTTCAGTAATTAACAGTAGCTTAAGTCATCACTAGGTTGTTTCTAAGTGTCGATATTAGGAGTATTAATACAGACATTTGCTAAACTAGTTAGCAATAATAGCAAAAACTTGTAAATTTAAGTATTTCTGAATCAAAGATACATACATATTATGTGTCTATGTTAATGCTGTTATTTATGCTTAATGCTTATCTTAAATTGTTGCTATTAATCTTTTTTTATTCACACCACCTACTGAGACAAGCAAAAACTCCGCTAATACTATGAATAGTTAGACATGTTATGTACATACTTGTGTATGGGTACACTTGTTATTGTGCTGAAAATTTTGAATAATTAATAATATTCAAAAAAACTGTGTTGAACTTGTCGACGAGTGTTTGTAGCTGGTTCATTTCAGTAGCCACACTTTAGCGTTCATAAGGTTCGCATGTAATTATTAATTTGTGGGTTTTTATTCATTTCAGAAGTTTTAAACCAAAATGATGAAATATTTTTGTTAACACTTTAGGTTGGTTTATATAAAAGTTAATTTTATCGCAATTATTAATTGGCTGTTAATTGAGGGTTATGCAAAGCATTGCTGACCATCGGCAATAAACATAGTGATTAACAAGTTCTTGAGCTAAACATATACGCATTACTATCTATTCAAGAGAACAAAGAATCTATAGGTTGTTATTAGTACGTGCATTTACCCTAAGATCTATAATTTACGAATGTTATCGTTTTGGCAAGTAAAAGTGAATTACCATACCAGCGCTCAAATTACTTTTGACTGTATTTTTGAAGATATTTATTTTACTTTATCTTTGTAAATGGAATATTTACTGATGTATACTGGGCTATGGCATTGAGTTGTAGAATCAATATCTTTATACGTCCAGGTAAAACAAACGATAAAGTTTGCAGCTGTATTGTCATAGTTGTTGTAATAATTTACTTCCAAAAGGTCAGCTTGAAAGAGAATTAGCCTTAAACAGTGCCCAAAAGCAAATAATTATACTACAGTGAAATACCAAGTATATATTTAATCTGTTGCAACATGTATATACATACATACCAGAGAGCAAGATCGAGCAATCGATATATGCTTGCATATTTTATTTATTGAATATCGATGAAACTGGAAAATTTCGGCTATATTTTCTGTACGGCTAATTTTATGTCACTGGTCTGGTATCTCAGCTTTGAATTAGCAGTGTCTCTGGTTGAAACCGTATTTTCATGCAGGTTTACTTTCTACAACTTTAAAGATTGTAGTTCATTCATAAGGTACATAAAAGAACTGAACCTTTGATATATATCATATAATAAAGTATTTTGAAAAAGGTTTCTTCAAAATAAGATGAATGAATAAGGTACGTTTGCAATGATTAAATACGAGCTCATGGCTGTATAGCAATACGTAACTGAACGCGCATACTG